GAAAAAATTGATAGGCAGTTAGCCTTTACCTCCGAGGAGGGGAGAAAACCGATCAGAATTCGGTCGCATTTCTTTAGTATGCAAAGAAATCATGAGCGATAAAGAAGTGCATGTCTCCGTGGAGCAACGGATTATAATAAAGTTATTGGCAAAGGAGGGCGTAAAACCAATCGAAATTTTGCGACGATTGCAGGCACAGTTTGGGGATAACACTCTGTCAAGAACCCATGTATTTTTATGGCACCAAGAATTTTCTGGAGGGCCTGAAAAGGTGCACCCATGAAAGCAAAGACGCGATTTTCAGCCGGAAAGGTAATGGCAACAGTGTTTTTTGATCGACTAGATGTTTTTCACGTTGACTTTCTACACGATCAACGCATGATTAATGCACAATATTGCAGAGTTACTGGAAGCCGCAAAATTATCATTTCAAAGAAAAAGGAAGAAGCAATTGGTCAGAAATGTCATTCTTTTGCATGACAACGCCAAACCTCATGTGGGTAATGTCACGAGGGAAAAATTGGAAAAATTTTAATGGGAAATACTGGAACATCCTCCCTATGGTCCAGACCTTTTCCCTTGTGCCTTCCATCTTTTCGGATCCTTCAAAGAAGCGCTTGTAGACCAGCGTTTCGACGATACCAAAGCGGTGGAAGCATTTGTGCTCCAATGGCTACAGGAACGTCCGAAGAGTTTCTACGATGCTGGAATAAAACAGTTACCAATCCGATGGAAAAAATGTATTTCTAGGGGGGGAATGTATGTAGAAAAATAATGTATGTTTGAAAACTTATTTAAATAAAGATTAACATTTTTACAAAAGAAATTCCGTTTATATTTGATACACCCTCGTATTATACTTGTTTAATAATTATTTCTAGTCCCTCTCTACCTAACAAAGGTCTTTCCAGATTCTGTCCCTGCTATACATAAACGAGTAATTTCTACACCAACGATAAAAAAAATCACAAATGCCATGGACTATATGACGCCACTGGCAATGGATAAAAGGTCGCAACGAAGGTATTGGAACATTTGAATCTCGATTCTTGCTGGACCGTTCTCGAACAATCGAGCAGCCATTCTCGCGCATATAAGGTTGAGTTAAGCGAGGCGGACGCAGAGTTAATAGGTAATAGTCTGAAACAGAGACTCATAGACAGAAAAACGTTGAATACGGTTCGCGAAGTTTACTGTTACGGTCAAGTGTTCAATTTGTTTATAATTGTAGTTATTTTGTTCTGGTGAAATATGTCTTCGCAAAAAAGAAAAATAACGAACGAAAAAAATATAATGTGAAAACACATTACACTATGTTACACGAGAAAAAGTTTCAGCAATATACAGGGAAATCCTTTTCATCAAATTTTAATCAACTTTTAAAAATGTGAACGAAGTGTATTGGTTTTGAAAAATATCTGATTAAAAATTAGGGTTATGGGGGTTGAAATTTAAAAAATCATAAATCAGAAACGAAAAACGATATCAACTTGGAATTTTCAGGACAAATCAAGCTCTATAAGGGAACAAAGCCTATTAATAAAAATGGTGGGATCAAGGAGGGTAAAATTTGAAAAATCAAAAATCAAAAACCAAAATCAATATCAACGAAATTCTTAGTAAAAATCAAGTTCTATAAGCAGATGAAGCCTATCGATTCTGAAAAAAATCTGAATAAAAATGGGGGTGTTAAGAATGTTGAAATCCTAATTCAAAAACGAAAAATGATATCAACTTGAAATTTTTAGCAGAACTCAAGTTCTATAAAGGGACGAAGCCTAATGATTTTGAAAAAATCTGAATAAAAATGGGACGTTAACCCCTTAACGCCCCCCGGCTAAAATCTGAAATCAGAAATCAAAAACGAAAAGCGATATCAATATGAAATATTTTTAGTAAAAATCAAGTTCTATGGAGCCTATTGATTCTGAAAAAAATCTGAGTAAAAATGGGGGTTGAAATATTAAAAAAACTCCTAACTCAGAAACAAAAAACGATATCAGGGGTCTGTTAAATTGTGAAGAATATAATATAGAATGCCAATAATTATACCCAGACAACACACCAAATCCCAGAGATATCCACAGAATATCTTTTGTGGATATCCAATATATCCACAGGATATCAGAAATATTCCGTGGATCTAATATGGATATCCAAATGTCCGTCTATATCCAGAATATAGAAGATATCCTAATGGATATCCAGCAAAATATCTAATGGGTATCTTCCAGAAAATACAAGAAATCCCAGAGATATCTACAGAATATATTTTGTGGATATTCAATATATCCAATATGGATATCCAACCAAATGTCCATCTATATCCCAGGATATAGAAGATATTCGGATATTCAACAAAATATTGTATGTGTATCTTTAGTAGAGGTTCATAAGTAACCAATGATTATTGAATAACGTCGAAAGAAAATAACAGAGATAAAAAATATTTTCAACACTCAAAATATTTTCAACACTCTGCCTTTGATTTTGCCCACTAAGGAGAAAGTCATCCTTATTAGGACTCTTCAGCAATAAATGGAAATTCTCGACTCCAGTCTCTAATGGAGTCTGATTAGGACATAAATTTCGATCGAACTCAATTACGGCGGGTCGAGCATGAGTAGATGCGAAAGTGGTATCGCCATCTATACTTAGTAAGCAAAATCAAATAACATCTAGTGCATATCCACGATGGTTTGCGTTCGCGCCTAGACTTTGACATATTTAGTGGATGTCCATGGGATATTGAATACACCTTAAAAAATTAATTTTAAATATCTGAACGGTACTATTAGCCACAATGGCGTAATTTTTTAATAATTTGCTATATAATTACTATTATTTATGGACATTTGCATGACTATAAATTACATATCATGGATATAAAATAGATATCCACCATGGACTGGACATTCAGTGGATATTGGGATGTTCAGTAGATATCCAAAGGATTTGGTGTGCTGTCTGGGTATACGTACATTTTCAAAGTCTGTCCAGCATTTGATCTTGTACAGCAAAGTACAGTAAAACGCCGTTATTGTCCAGTAAAACGCCGTTATTGTCCAGCAAAACGCCATTATTTTCCAGCAAACAAACATTTAGGCGCTAAAAAGCTGATGACTCTCCTGCCGCGCCATCTAGCTGCAGTTTTGTCTTTTTACTCAGTGGCTTTTTGCCTAAAATTGGATTTTTTTTGTGTTCTATTTGTGCTATTTATGTTCTTGTTGTTTGCTTTTTTAGTTTAGTTATAATAATTTTTGGTTGTTTTGTATTTAAAGAAATAACAGAGTTCTGTGGTTCTGTTTTATTTCTCCCTCCGCCGTTCGCTTGTCCAGCATTTGGTCTAAAGAAATATGGTCACCCTAGCATTATACAGGGTGTTTTTTAAACATGCGACAAAAATTCAAGAGGTTGTATCTTGGACCATTCTAAGAATATTTTGTCCTTTAATGATTTATGAAAATCCGTTTTGTTAAGGAGATACAGAACTAACAAAATTTTAGACAATAACATTATTTTATTACCAAAAAATACATGTAAATGTTTTTTAATCTAAGAACTATTTAAAATAACTACCTCCAGCAAGAATGCTCCTTAACTGCCGAACTCCTTCAAAAACACCAGGGTCGTTTCTTATTGAGTTATGTTGTTAAAAAATAATAAAAATAACAATTTTTAAAAAAGTTGTATGTTCTTGGTTAACATAGTGTAGTACCTATTTTTATTTAGACTATTAATAAAACCAAACGGAATTTTAAAAATCATCAAAGAACAAAATATTGTTAGAATAGTCCAAGGAACAACCCCTTGAATTTTTGCTGCATGTTTAAAAAACACCATGTATATGTTCATTCTAGTTTTACTTATGTTTAATAATTATTAATTGATTAATTAATTTTGTACATGATCGCGACTTAAGGTAGTTCACTCGCGACAGTCGTACATACAAATATCACATGATGGTGAATACCAAAAGGTCGAGATTCTCAATGTTAATCAATTTTATTTTTGCAAGAGACTGTACAAAACACATGTATATAAACACATATAGACATGTTATAATTTTAATATAATTCATCCGGCAACCTCGCAAATATATGAACGGTATAGTATAGAAATTTGTGACTTCCTCATACTAATTTTAAGGGTTTGTTTTGGTTCAAACAGAACCGCTGATTCCAGTTCTTAAACACAGTGGACGAATTAATTTTTCAAGAACACGTCGCGAGTTTATAACAACCTCTTAGCTGATAGAGTGTTACGTTGTTATGTGAAGTGATTACAATGTTGCCAAGTTGTAATAATTTTAAGAAACTACTCGTCAACTGGTTTAAAAATATTTTTATTTTAAAAATCTATATCTTTTTACTAAGACGGTCAAAAAATTCAGTGATTTTTTTATAAAATTTTATAACTTCTTGATTTACTTAACAATAGTTTTTAAAAAATATGGTAAGAACCGATTTTGAGATATCTTGAAATAAATACATTGCTTGTGTACATGACAGGTTTCAAGAGTGTTAATTATGCACATTTTGATTAATATCTCGTTTCACAGACGATCAAAAAATTTTATTTTTTTTAGTTACGTAAACGACATTTTCATTAACCTTATATTTCAATTTTATTGAATTCTTAAGAAAAGCCGTTTTACGAGTGAACTACCTTAAAGCAAAAATTTTGTGAGGATTTTCTAATATAAAACTGTATTTTATATGCGCGCCACTGGAAATACTTCAAGATGTTATGTGTCTTGAGAATATTGAGAGCTTTAAATGTGTGCATCGATAAGGCAGCACATTGAGAAGAAAAAAATGTGGGAAACCCTCCTATTTAAAACCCACTAGATATTTATTAAAACAAAAAGCAGCAAATTTTTATATATTGACATTTTTTTGCCATTTCAATAATAACCGCAAATAATGTTGAATTTTACGTATTTATATGATTTAATGCATATAATAATTTGTTGATTTTTTAAAATAAAAAAAATCGTACTTAAAAATAATTTAATAAAAAAAAAAAGAATAATTTAAAACTATTTAAAAACTAATTTCAGTCTGGTGCAGAATCCTCTTCTGTAGAATCCTCTTCTGAGGAATCTTCTTCTGATTCCGATTCATATTGTCCTTTAGTTAGAATAGGATTATTATCCAGTAACAAAGAATACAAATCAAAATCCTTCAATACTTCTTTATCGATCTTACGTATTTTATTATTTTCTAAAACTACATTATTAAGAGGAATATTTATCATACCTTTTTTAATTTCACTTAGCTCGTTATGACCGAGATCTAAATAAGCCAAATTCTTAATTTCTTCAAACGCTCCAACATCAATATCATATATTTCGTTATGTCCCAATTTTAAACTGATTATTTCGCTATTATTAAAAAAACCTTTTTTAATAACAGTCAATAAATTGTTACTTAGATCTAATTCTTTTAGTTTGACATTCTGAAACGTATTAGGTGCGATATGCATGATAACATTATTGTCTAACTTCAAACCGATTGCTTTTGTGAATCCCCCAATGGCAGATCGATTTAAATCTCCTAATTTATTGTATGACAATACCAAATGTTCTAAATTTTTAATGTCTGCAAAAGCGCCATCTTCTATGGAAGTTATCTGATTATTATCAAGCGCTATGAAGGTATATTGTTTGCTGTTAAAAATACCTTTTTTAATCTCAGTTATTTGATTACCAGATAGATAAATACAAACTATCGGAGATCCTATAAAGTTTTCCGTTCCTACAATAGTTATTCTATTATAAGTGAGGTTAAGTTCAGCTAGATTGGGAATGTTCTTGAAGATGTTGCCGATTTCCTTTATTTGGTTGTCTCTGAGATTTATATAAGCCAATCGCGATATTTTTTGGAACGAATTTTCTTCTATTCTAACAATACGATTGTAATCAAGTTTTAACATAGTTATGGTGGATTTATCAAAAGTGTTTGCTGTTATTTCTTCTAAATGGTTTTCGGTTAAAACTAAGGTTTTAACAGTTAGACCTTCCAGAGCGCCATCTTCGATTTTGGAAATGCGGTTGTTCATAAAAGAAAGCACTTCTAAAGTTTTGTTATTAAAGACTCCTTTTTTTAAAACTTGGAGTTGATTGTCGATAAAAAATATGTTCTCAACGCGAGCATCGTCTAAAATACCTGATTCTAGTTCCGTGATTTTATCGTTGACCATGCGAAATTCTTGGAAATTAAGACCACTCAAGATATTTCTTGGCACTGTTGGTACCGTTTGGTTTTCAATTACCACTAGATTATAAACTTTTCCTATTAAAATTTCACTTAAATTCGCAAAAGAGGTAACTGTTGTATTCAGTACAATGTCACTCCAATCTCTATACACTTGAACTGAAATGTCACATTTTAAACACAATGCATGCAGCAGTACTAGCAACACTATTTTAACCATCATTGATGTAAAAGTATAGCTTCTAAGTATAGCGATTCAAAACCTGAATGATATCAGTGTAAAAACGGTTTTACAGTAGCGGCTTCAGCGACATGGATTTTGTAGTTTTCCTTATATAATTGCTTCTTGTTTTATTTAGTAGTATTGCTTTGTTTTATAGATCTCGTTTTCATTTCTGTCATTCATAATATTTTCCAACATTAGAACTATCTAGTTGACTGAAAGTTGCAAGAAAGTTCATTAAAATTTACTAGCCTGATACACATTGACAACTTTATGCCATCCAGGCATAATCATTTGTGCAGCAAATTTAGTGGACTAATTTATTATGTTTATGCTATTAGCTTCAATTAAAGTAAATAAACATGTGCTAAACGCTATTGAAATTTTGTTAAAAGTTCGGTAAATTAAACTAAACATATTTCTAATAGTTATATCTGTAATACCAAAGATTATAGTTAAGACAAGAGATCTCACTCAAATGTCAATAGATCTAAAAGTCTGTGACCTTAAAAATTTAAAATATTTTACTCGGGTAAATATGTATCTAATCTAATATAACCTAGCTTTCTATCATTTCTCTTTTTGGTTTAAACATTTATTTATAATCGAATTTTGTTATACATCTGTATTTTTTAATTCAACTTACATCATGAATGTCTGTGCAGTGAGAAACTGCAAACATACTCATCAATTTTCTAGATGTCATTTTTTTCATAAGACAGCAACCAACCATCTGATTGGTGACGTCAGACTTGTCAAAAAACTTCAGACCAATAGGGATATCGAGGTCAACATTATTTTAAAAACCAAAAAACAAATTTTGTAATTACCACACTAATTTTGTCTTCAAATGGCTTAAAACCTGAATATTTTTTTACTTTTAGATGTCATTTTTCTCATGTGTCAGCAACCAACGTGCTGACTGGTGACCCCAGACTTGTCAAAAATACCCCAGACCAACTTGGAAGAGGTACCGAGGTCATTGAGATTTGAGCCAGAATTTAACATGGGTAGTATAGGGATTGACAGGCCTGTGGTAATACTCTTCAGTAATTGACATGATAACCTCAAAAAAGAATTACAACTCCATAACTTATCAGTTGACAAATTACTGTAGATTTGTAGGACTGGGCAGATATTTTAACTCAATAATTTTTGCAGCAGAGTTGGCCAATTTACTTCATTCCAGTTTCTTTATAACCCATATGAAGTATCTTTCATCCCAAATTTATATAATATTTATTAGTTCTTCCATTATTGAAAAAAAAAACAGAAAAATACGTTAAAGTTGTTTTCTTTTTGTATTTTTAATTTTCGGCAAGTTATTGAATATGATATTTTTCTTGGAATAATTTTACTTTGTAAAAGGCGTCAGTCAAACATTCTTTTATCCAAACTAAAATTTGATAGCATAACATTATTTCAATAACACTAGTTAAATCCTGATCTGTGAATTAATTAATTAACTTTTATCAGTTTTCTATTAAATAAAAGGTTATCTTTACAAAATAAAGCAAGTGACATAAGATATTTACAACTAAATTTTTAAAAAGAAAACAAAACATTATCCCATGTTGCTCCGAATAATTAGCCTTGACATATAATTATGAGGAAAGATTTATTTTTAACATACAGGGTGTGTCACTAATTTTCTAAAACCCTTCTAAGAAAATATATTTATTTTATTGCTCAAAACTATTAACGTCCTGCTTACCTACTGTGTGTTAGGCGAGGAAAATACAGTTATTGGGTCCCGGGACACAATGTGATAAAGGGTAAAGGGATACAGATTACGCGCATTGTAACAGGGATCCTTACCGGGGCAGTGCTGTGTCCAAGAACACCTTAATAAATTGGGACTAGTAGAAGATAATGAATGGAGATTCTGGGAGGTAGAGAACGAAACCTCCATTCTAATTCTGACAAAATGCGTAGCATTCCAGAATCCAAGGGCACCAACAAATAGAAGAGGGCAATTCATTAATTATAGAATATATTTTTTCCTTTAATGCCAGAAATTATCTATTTTTTGATTTTTTGATATGTTTCCATTAAAAAGCACAATCTAAAGATTTTACAAACTCTGCGACTTTTTTGTAACCTATAATGTTCGTTTACTTTTTAGTAAACTTTTTCAACAGAACAATTGAACTTAACGTTTGTCCTTGCAAGAGATATTTCAATTAATGTCAAATTTTAATGTTTTTGTTTGTTTTTTTTTAGCAACATTCTCAATTTGTCTGAACATAATCTTTTGGCCCTCTGTGAAACATTACAAATAAAATTGACCGACGAAGCCAAAAAAATAATCTGATATTGTCGGTAAAGAATTATTTAATAAAATAAAAGCTCTTCCCTTATCTCAATAGCTAATGATCCCGTAACTTTATTAGACTGTCACCTTGTCAAAGTTTATTAGGCCCGAAAATTTTAATTAATGTTGTTGCAATCGATTATATCACTGAATTCACTTTTCTAAGAACGGATAGAACGACCCTTTTTAAAAATAGCCTCTAGTTCAATAACAATTCTAGAATTTTGAGTTCCGCCGATATGCTTCATATTAAGTATTAGATTTAACCATATTTCAGACAATATATAAAAAAAAAATAGAATAAATAATGTATTAATAATTTTATCAAAAGATATAAAACATAAAATAATATAAGTGAATAAAAGTAATTGGAAAAAAGTTTAAAGATGACATCTACTTACAACTGAAAATGTAAACTTCATTATAAATTAAAAACTACTACAGTTATTCTCTAAAAATTAAAAATAATATAATTTTGAAAAAAAAAAAAATGTTTTTCCTTTAAAAAGCACAATATAAAACAAAATATACAAAAGACTTGAGAAGCACATATACATAAATGGAAATTTCTAAAAATATACGTTTTTGAGTAGTTTCAATGTCAAGTAAACGCGCATTGCGATCTTAATTTCAGATCCCAATACAATATTCAATACTTGTAATATTCAGAAAAAATAATTGATCATTAATTTGCTCCATAAATGCCTCAATTCCGTAATTTTGTAAGACACTTCGAGTTGACCTGGTAGGTGCATTTTCTTGGCAGTTACCTAATTTACACTAAATTTTTCAAAAATTCAATCGTAAAATCGGTCATTTCAATTTAAAATCGATCCAACGTAAAAAGCACGTAGTTAATACACAAACAAATTATGAATTTAGTGTCGCTGCCAAAAATAATTTACGGAGCAAATTTCTTTAATAACGTCCCTAGACTGCCAAAATAATTGAGTAATAAAAGCACAGCAGAAAATTAATGATTCAACTAAAATTTCTGTTTATTTCCGCAGCTGTAAAAAGCTTATTATTAAAAAAGAAATAGATGTTTTATTTCTGTTTTTAAAACTTTATAAAGATAATGTAGGTATTGGATTGGATCCGTAAAAAAACGAATTTTCACACATCGCGAAAGCAAGATGTATGTATGTAGCATAAAAAACCCTTATTATAAACGAACATTGTCTTTTTCCAGAAAAAGTAGCTGCTGAGTAATCGACTGATTCTAAACAAATATATGTGAAGAAACTAAGAAATTAACAAAGGTTGAGGAGGAATGAAAGACGCATTTAAAGGGTGCAAAGTTGTAGGAATATCTAAGATATTCCAGTCTAGTTTAATAAAATTAGTCGAGCGCTTTCAGCACAAATGCCATCATCGGGAATTTTGTCAAAAAATTATTACACAGAAGAATTATTAGTAAAATTGCACATTTCAGCAAAAATAATTACTGTGTAATGAACGAACAGTTAAGAGGTTGATTGCTGTAAAAAATGGCTGTCCACATATTCAAAGCTGGTGGCAAGGTTACCAGTGATCAGCCCTTCAGAGACACCCGCATTGAAACGAACTTTTTATTTATGAAATTGCTTAGGTAGGTATAGTTGAAGAATCACAAGACTTCGTGAATATTGTTTATATTATACCTACATTTTCTACCGATTACGAGAAAAATCAGAAATCGGATCAGATTACAATTTGAATTTAAATAAAAATGTAATATTTTCATTTATCGTTCATGGAGTACACAGTGGTCAGAGTTGGGTCGAATACTGAAATCCGGTATTCGAATACGAATCCTGAATACTGTATTCTAAATTGTATTCGAATAATCAATATTCGAATACAAAGGAAAAACAGTATTTGAATACCGCTGTATTCGAATACCTGGATTCATTTACATATGAATACTTTATGAATATTCCAACTACAAATAACATTTGCGCACATAAAGCTTGATTATTATTTATGTAGTTAATTTATAAAAATATAAAAAGAATTAAAAATCTATGTTAAATAAAATTTTAAATATCATTTTTTGATACACAGTGTCACAGTGAGGTTAAATAAAATAACTGTTTATTAAAAAACATTTGCTGATTTTTATTTCTTAAAGTTTTATTAAAAAATTAAATTAAAAAATAAAATAATGAAAAATTTAAAATAAAATTCTTTGGTACACCGTCAGATAAAAACACAAACTTATTGTTTAATAAAAAATAAACAATTCCCATTACCTATAACCTATACCCTACAACCTACTTACTTATACAGAGTGTCCCACGAGATACGCCTCGGACCATAACTCCATAACGGTGCAATTTTCGAAAACTAATTTTAAAAGATGGCTTTTTTGAATATACATAAAAATTGCACCGTTATGGAGTTATGGTCCGAGGCGTATCTCGTGGGATATATAATAAATAAAACTTAAAATAGTTTCTTTGGTACATTCATTGGAAATTCGAACACAATAAGGTAACACAATAGAATTGCTTAGCAAAAGAAGCTATCCTTGAAAAATAATCTTAAATAATAAATAACTTAAAATAAATTCTTTTTGTTTTAAATAAAATATAATATAACATTCATAACGTCGCACTAGTACTTGGATATCAGAAAGAAGACATCAATCAAAAAGCATTTCCTATCCCGTTTGCCTTTAACAAAACCAACATTTCAAAAAGATCGCAATATTCATAGAAATAATCAAACAGTATT